CATTGGCTTAAGGTTTTCCAGAAACCTTCTGAAAAACCTCAGAGCATCAGTGTGCTGCAGGATCACTTTTTCGGCGTGGTCAACAATATATGGCACCTTTTAAGTCTTTCCTGAAAATTTCCTTGAGTCAGCATGAGATTTGATCGAGTTAGAAGGATTTTAATTTTTGCTAGTAACAGGCGAAAAATCGGTTTTTCACAACTATGCCTCTGGCGAAGTTATATTCGTTTCTACACAGAAACAAATGTTGCTACTATGCTCAGCGTAGTCGATTACCTATAGTCCATGGCATTTTGAGATTCCCAGAGAGGTCTGCTCGGAGATAGACACGTGCTCGGGGAAAGCGAGCTCTTCCAGAACGACGATAGCTAGAGAGCCGGGACTTGCATAATTTTGCAGAGTAACGTCCGAACTATCTACGCATGCAAAAAATTACTAACATTGGATGTTAGTTTTCTGAGAATGGAGCTGGTTTTCCAAAGATCCTCTGAAAACCCGATCTCTGGAATTTTTTCAAAAGTTGCTTCCGCTTGTGAAAAGTTCTGCTCAAGTCTTGGCTATTGAACAGCGAAAATCGCAGGTCTCTATCTCATTCCTATCAAAAGTTATTCAAAAAATGCCCACAGGTCTTGTATTTTGGGATGGATAGTAGTTTTGTAACTTCTGAAGGAGAAGTCATGAAATGACGAAAGACGTCTCATTATACAGCTATGGCTTTATTATACAAGCGAACTATGCTGAAAACAATTTACTTACCCTCAGAAAATAGCCCAAAATTCTAATGTGAGTACTATGTTTTTCTGGTCTTCTGCGGTACATTTTAATAAATTCATATTTTCAAATGTCATTTTGTAAAGGACGCTTTACACTATATTCTGGTATATTTTTCGAAATTGGGCATTTTGATCATCAGGGGCAACTCTCAGCAGAGACAGGAACTGCTCAATGTCCCTCATCTAGTGATGTAAGAAAAATTTTAAAGCTCATGGGTATGTTGGTCCGTTCTTTTCTCTCACATTTCGTATTGTATATGTGCCAGAAATTAAGAGTTATAACTAGAAATTGCAGATACAATTCCAACAGGTTTGTGGAATATGACTGGTACAACGGTCGCTGGAGCAACGCAGATCAATGGTTCAAATGCCAGTCTTCTGTTCTATCCTAACGATGTCGCTATTGATAACAACAATAATATTTTTGTGGCGGATACGAATAATAATCGTATCCAGCTTTGGATATCTGGCAGCTTGTCAGGCGTTACTGTTGCTGGAGACGAAACAGCTGGAAGTAATTCAACTGAATTATGCTATCCCCATTCCATATTTGTTAATACTTATAACAACAGCAATGACCTATACGTTGCCGATCATTGTAATAATCGAATCCAGAAATATCCAAATGGAGCAAATACGGGAACCACAGTAGCTGGAGGTAAAACAGAGTACTAATTCTAATATCGAAAATCTTCACTGTTTTGACTTTTACAGGAAATGGTCCAGGAGTCGACTATAGGCAGATTAATGGATCCTATGGCGTTTATGTTACAAACGATAACACTATTTACATTTCGGATACCGGAAACGATCGTGTGATGAAATGGCTATTTGGATCCTCAGTTGGACTCCTTGTGGCGGGCGCCCAAGGTACGGGAAGTGCTTCAAACCAATTCGATTCTCCGCGTGGTCTTTTTGTCATCAGTAACGGCGATGTCTATGTGGCTGACAACAACAACCATCGAATTCAGAGATGGACTTACGGTGCTTCAAATGGAACGACTGTAGCGGGCGGAAATGGAGCGGGCAATAGCCTCTCTCAGCTCACTTACCCCCGAGCTGTGATTGTCGATGAAGCCGGAGGAGATTTATACATATCGGATACCAATAATCATCGTATTATGAAATGGAAAATTGGAGCGACTAGTGGTATTGTCATAGCTGGAAGCAGTACGGGAACAGCCGGATCGACAGCAACAACGTTGTATTATCCTAACGGAATTAGTCTTGACTCCAATCAAAATTTATACGTAGCCGATTCAGTAAATCATCGTATTCAAGAGTTTCAAGCGTATACTAGTAAGTAAGACACTTCTCAGACGACATTACATATCCTGATTACTGCCCTGCTTATACCAGAGTTGTAACCGGTCTGGAAATACTAGGCCGGTCCGGTCAGTCACCGACCGGTCTAAAAATATTTTCAGACCAGTAAAAACCGGCGAGTTCATCAAGTTTTTTCAAGTAATAACTTTGATATTAGGGACAAACTTTTGTTCTGAATACCTACAGATTTTTACGCCTGTCTTTTCTGTAATGCTTATACTGGAATTCGAATACCAAAAAACCAACTAATATTTTCAAGATTGAGTTTCTTCTGCATAGGATAAGGTTCCTTCCCACAAAAGTCGGTATTTAATTTCCATTTCTTTTGTTATTTCGTTCAAAT